CCTTTTCCGGAGGCTCTTATTCTTACTTAAAATTCACCTTCACTTCAAAGTAAGAATAAGACCCTCCGGAAAAGGGCACTTTTTCCGGAGGATCGGGGCCAGTCTAGACGCTCTTTTCCGGCTTTTTTAAAAGCCGGAAAAAAGCGGCGGACATTTTTATTTAAATGCCGCGGGGGATATTTAAATCCCCCGCGGATTTCCCTACGACGACTGCTGAAATTTACATGCCCCTTCCGGAAAAGGGGCCAGTGTAGACGTAGCCCATTAGTTGGTGCAGTGCCTAGTGCAATGGGATGCCATTCTTGGGAAGAGGAGGAAGGGAGTGGAAGTCCAGGCGCTACTGTCATGTAACTAATAATTTTATCTCCACTACAGCTGTGTTTATTTCCTTCCTGCTGGCCTTTTAGAGAGTCCCACCATTCCATGGAGGAAACGTCACTATTGGAAGGAAAGGGTGTGAGTCTGTGTGTAAACAGAGATAAAAGGACTTGCTCTCTTCCCCCTGCTCCTCCTCCAAATAAAATCCCATCTTTAAAGGCAATGAATCAAATGTGAGCATGTCCAGCCCATTTGAGCTGGTTCCTGGCTCCATCTGCCTTTTCAGGCTGTACTGGTTTTTGTACGGATGGATCCAGACCAGCAAAACCAGATTGATACAACTTCCTTCTGCATGGCTTATCTCTGCAGTTCGTTTGGCAATTGTGCCAGCTTGCAGTTACGCAATCAGAGACGCACTGAGACGTGCTGTGCCTGCTTTGTTCTTCCCAGAGCTTCTCAATGTTGTGGTCACAAAATGTGATTTGAAAGAGGCTCTCTCCCTTCCAGCACTTCAAACATAGTCCTGCTGCTACTTCTCTAGCCAACTACTCACTTGCTCTGTTCCTCTTTCCTTCTCTCTCTCTCTCTCTCTCTCTCTCCTTTTTACCCCATCCTGGTCTCTTTCTCAAACCCCAAGTCCCTTCCTTGCAGGGGATGTTGGAAATTTAGCTAAGCTGCTAAATGTACATTCACCCCTACAACTGAGTCTTTGTATTTCCAGTGTGCTTATCACCCTGATGTCAAGCAGAGATGTGCACTGGAATGGCCAGGCTACACGTGCTACAGTCAGTCTGTCTTCTCTCCATCACTCACATGCTTGTCCTCTTGCTTTCCTCCTTCTCTCCATTAAACTGAAACCTCTCTTTCCCCAGCACTACCCTTGTTCTCCCAATCCCTGAAAGACAGGCTTAAGTCAGCTAGATGAGTCTCTGCCATTTGGTCTCAAGATCAGTTGTTTCAGGGCCTTTCTGAAAAGGTGTGGGGAGGAGATCCAGGGATTTCTCTGACCCCTGGGATGCAACTGACAAGGAGGCAGGAAAGGTTGTTGTTTATCTCCCTGCTGAGAGGACACAACAGAAAATCTGGACTAGCAGGGCCCGAGTTAAGGAAGAGAGGGCAGCAGCTTTTTTGCAATTCCTGAACAGGTATCCCACCCCCTGCTCTGTGCTCGACAAAGGCAAACAGGTCCTTGGCCTGGCCCTCTCCACCTCCATCTCACAGATCTTGGCACCAGACAGCTCTGGGAGCTGCACCCCTACCAATAACAAATGGGAAGGGTCTCTGAGCCCCTTGTCTAAATACTGGGGGAAAAGGCCCTGATCTGAGCCCCTGGTGTAGAGACCGAGGGAGGGGCACTGATAGGAAGGAAAAGCTAAGAGGAGACTTCTCAACAGTACAGAATTGGTCAGAGGAAGGGAATATTTCAGCTAGGAGATTCCGACTGGCACGTTTTCACCCGGCTCGACAAGCTGGTGGGGAGGGATCCGTGGACGGAGGGCTGAGTCACTGCTTGGTTCTAGGAAGGCGGGAGCGGTGGAGAGAAATCGAGGGACCACTTGTTTTAGGGTCTTCAAGTCAATTCTGTCTTGCAGGGATTGTGGGAGGAGCCAAGGCAGCGGCTGTCCATTCTGGGTAAAGAGCTGGGCCCAGCAGGACGCAGTTCATGGGGAGCAGACAAGCACTAGGAGCATGTGGCCTGGTTGGTGCCAGATTTGACGATGGTGATGACGCTTGCGGTGGCCACCTTGGCGGCAGAGCCATGGGCAGCAACTGTGCGGGCAAAACCCTGCAGCGCCTCGTACTTGCCCCGCAGGGCGTCCAGCTCCAGGCGCATGGCAGCGTTCTCGCGGGCCAGCTTGTCCACCTCCCGCTCCAGCTCCGTCTTCTGCTTCTGCAGCTCCTCCTTCTGGCACACCGCGGTTCTTCAGCGTGCGCCGGCGCTGCTTCAGCCGTGCCACCTCCTCCTTGGAGAGACCCCGCAGGTGGTGATTCAGTTCCCGCACCGACAGCCCCATCAGCTCCTCGTCTGATAGCTGGGGCACGTTTTCCCCCAGCTCCTGCTTGATCTGGCCGAGAAAGCACCGGGGGGAGAGTAATGAGTGTGTGAGAGAGGCAAGGAGGGGCAGAGGAATACGTACAGGGGGAGGGGAATGGAAGACAGAAGACAGTACAAAGTGGGCAGGAATACTGGAAGGGGGAGACCAGTGGGCCATAGAATCATAGAATCATAGAACCCTCAAGGCGGGACCAAGCTCCGTCTGCGCCATCCCTGACAGATGTCTATCTAACCTGTTCTTAAATATCTCCAGAGAGGGAGATTCCACCACCTCCCTTGGCAATTTATTCCAATATTTGACCACCCTGACAGTTAGGAATTTTTTCCTAATGTCCAATCTAAACCTCCCCTGCTGCACTTTAAGCCCATTACTCCTTGTCCTGTCCTCAGAAACCAAGAGGAACAAATTTTTGCCTTCCTCCTTGTGACACCCTTTTAGATATTTGAAAAGAATAGGACTGAAGTAGGACTGCTATGTCCTCCCCTTTTTTACTGGCTGTGCGATGGGGGAGGGATGAAGAGGAACAAGCAGGGGGCGGGGTTTTGGGGGAAAGACAGGCAGTGCAGGAGCGAGGCCTTGGGGGAAGTGGCAATTTGTGGGGCAGGGCTTGGGGAGAAGGGTCTGTGCAGGGACAAGGTCGTGGGGAGGTGTGACATGAGGGCAGGGTTTCAGGGAAGCAGTGGTCTGGTGGGTGGGGTCATGTTGGGTGACCAGGTGTCTGTTTTGTTTAATTGGAGTCCCTGGTTGAAAAGGGACACTGCTGGCTTCAGTTGGTACTGCTGACCAGGCTGTTAAAACTCCGGTCAGCAGTGATGCGCGGCTAAGGCAAGCCAGTCCCTACCGGTCTTGCACTGCACTGGAAGCAGCCAGCAGGTCTGGCTCCTAAGCGAGGAGGCTCCAGCTCCACGCGCTGCCCTTGCTCTGAACACCAGCTCTGTCACCCCTTGGATGGCACCCAGGGAATGGGAGCGGTGCCTGCCCACCCAAAGTTATGGCCCACTCACTTGCCCCATCCTGGCTATGCCACTGGGAGGAGCCGTAGGTGGCAAGAGCAGCATGTGGCCCCGCTCTCCCCTCCCCAGCCTGGAGACTGGGACTTGTGGGCTGTTTCCGGGGTGCAGTGCGGTTACGGATTAGGGAGAGGCAATGGGCCTGCTGTAACCTCACTGCGCTGTTGACTAGAGAGCTGCCTGGGGTAAGCCCATGCTCAAACCCCAGCCCTGAGCTCCCTCCAACCTGCACCCCTCCTGCACGTCAAACCCTCCTTCCTGGCCCCACCCTGAGCCAGCACCCCAAAAGTTCACAACTCTAGGCCATGGTTCATGTGCCAGTATGAGGGGGGGCACTTTTACCACTCATGAGGTGGGCAAGAGGAATGGAGGGAACGCAGAGGGGTGAGACAGAGGGTCAGGGAGAGCGGAGATAATGCTCTTTCGTACCTTCAGGGCCTTGCTCGATAAGCTGTCTGCGGACATTGTCTCCTGCAGTCGTGCTCCCCACACGAGGACCCTGCAAACAAGCCAGAGGCGACATGTCACTCCCTTCCGTCCTTGTTCATTTCGTGCACGAGGCTCCCTCAGTGCGGGTATGTCTACACCAGCTCGTTAGTTCGAGCTAGGTAGGCAAATGAGGGCAACCGGAGTTGCAAATGAAGCCCGGGATTTAAATATCCTGGGCTTCATTTGCATGTTCCCGGGCGCCGCCTCGAACTACCTACTCCGTGCCACGTGTAGCCGCGGGCACGGAGTTCAGACTAAGGGGGATTTAAAAATGGCGGCGCCCAGGAACATGCAAACGAAGCCCAGGATATTTAAATCCCTGGCTTCATTTGCAACTCCGGTTGCCCTCATTTGCCTACCTAGCTTGAACTAACGACCTACTGTAGACATACCCTATGTATGGGGCAGAGGGCAGAAAAGACAGCCTGGACCATAGCCTTTCTTTGCTCCCCAGCATTTTTTGCCCCCGTTAGAGTTGCCAGATGGTTTCACCAAAAATACCAGAACCCTTCTCCCCTCCTCCGAAATCTTCGGGAAAATTTTGTTGAGGAAAAAAAAAAAAAAAAAGCACCAGGCTGCCAAAATGCAGTTGTGGCCCCTTTAATTGCTGGGCCGCTCCCCTGCCACTCCACTGACCGCTGCTGCGTGTCTGTTAGGAGCCAAGCCAGGAAAAGCAGAAAATACTGGACATTTTATATATCCGGTATATTCTCAATCAAACAGAAGGTGCAAATACCAGCCTGTCCAGTTCAATACCGGACACCCTACTGGCGCAACCCTAGCCCCAGCCCCAGATACCATGGACATGTGGGTGCATCCCCTGTCCTGGTAAAGAGATGAGTCTCAAGGGACACAGAGATCCAGCACTGAATGATTCAGCTATTTTGTTTTAAAACAAAACTTTCCAATATTCCTTCCTCTCCCTTACTTCCTCCAAATAGCAAGCAGCAGCCAGAACCTACGGCTCCTTCCCAGTGTCATAGCCAGGATGGGGCAAGTGGGTGGGCGGGCAATGATGGGGGGAAAGCAGCAACAGGGCCATCTCTCTCCAGCTCCAGCTGGCCTTGCGGGGGGGGGGGAGGGATAGACACACTGGCCAGGTACTGATGGGGGGGTAGCAGCAACAGGGCCATCTCTCTCCAGCGCCAGCTGGCCTTGCGGGAGGGTGGGAGGGATAGACACACTGGCCAGGTACTCCATAGAAACGTGTACCCCTCACCTGGCAATCAGGGTTTGCTCCCACTGCCTGCGGGCCACTCCAGCTGGGGGGCGGGGAATCAGGGGCTTGCCCTGCTCCCACCCAGTGCTCTGAGGAGGTGGTGGTATCAGGGCACGGGAGGGCTCCCAGCAGCAGGGGGGTTGGGACACTGGGGCTTGCCCGCTCCTGTGCTCCAGCTGTGAAGCAAGATCGGGGGCTTCCCCGCTGCCCTTGGTCGCCTGGCGCTCACAACTCCGCTCCCTGGCAGGAATGTTGGGTGAGTGGAGCAGGACTAGCCCCCCCACCCCACTCCCCAGGCCTGGCTGGAGCACTGGACAGAAAGAAGCATGCCCCTGCACCCAGGTGGGAGCAGAATCAGGACTGGGGGTGGCTAGGCCTGGATCCTAAGTCAGTGGGTCACAACCCACTCAGGCCCATCCATAGCTATGCCCCTGCCTGCCCCCCAATGCAGGTTACAGCTGGATTCCCCTCTGCCCTGCATTGTCTGCCCCTGAAATAGATGCCCCCCCCATCCTTCACCAGGAACTGCACAAGGGCAAGAGCTTTCCTGACTGAGAGGAACCAGGGTGGGGCTACAGCTGGTGGGTGTGTGGCTGAAAGTCTGTGCCTGGAAAGGCTGGCTAAGCCTAAAGGGAAAGCAAAAGCAACACAGGTAGCAGGACCAAGCTGGCCATTCGAACCTTCCCAAACTTGTCCAAAATACCCCAACCCCGTGCCCTAGAGTTAGAGGATTTGGGAGGCAGCCCTGTTGCAAGCAATGCAAAGGGTCCTTTCGGCCTCCCTGGTCCCCCTTAAGAGCTGTGTCTTTCTGAGACATCTTCTCTCCCCAGGGGCTGCGCTGGGAGAGCTGAGCCACATGTCCTCCCCTCAGGGCAGGGGAAGGATGGGCCAGCAACAAGGGGAAGGAGTCACTTGCTTTGCTCTGCTGAAATGTGCCCAGAAATGACACTAGACTGAGCCCATGAGCTGAGGAAAGCCAGGCTCATAGAGAACTCTCTCCTGGAGGGCCAGCTCTGGAGGTGGGAGGGGACTCGGGCACATTCCTTTCGCCCCCGAATCCCAACTGGAGCCCTGGCCGCAAGTAGGACGTCTCTCCTGGGGTTATGACTCCTCCTCGGGGAGGAGACAGGGCTGAGTTAAGAGTAACCCCCAAAGCAAATGGGGCAGCTGCCTCATGGGCTGATCCAACTGCCCTATGGCAGGGAGGGACCTCTCCTGGGGATCCTGTGACCCTCTCACTCCACTGTGTCCTCCGTGGGGATACAATAGAGGCAATTCCTGCCAATGCACGCAGGCAGGCCTGCACACAGAAACACCGCCCAAACTTCCACCTAGCTGACGGGTATCAGTCTCACTCCTTGCCCCAAACTGCCACAGAGCAGCCTCCTTCTTTCTCAGGGGTGGCAGCGCGATCCCAGTCTAGAAAGCCCTTTGCATCATCTAGGATAGAAGGTACTAGGGATGTGGATGCTTTCTTTTTTGTCCCACCTGTATGCATGTAGGTTTGATACACAATAAGCATATGCCCAGATGTACCTGCACGATCATGCACAAGGTTGCTCCCTGCCCTGCTTGTGAAACATGAGCACAGCCATGAAGCCTCGAGCTCTGACAAAGCCCGACCTCAACACACACCACAAAGAACACAACAGTGTAAGAGCCAGGAGCCACTCATTTCACAGACACGCCAGCCCCTTCCCTCCCCGTCTTCCCTTCCCGGGGGCTGGCGCAAAAGAGGCTTGTGGCTGAGTGAATCAAACGTCTGGAGCGTTCCAGTGGAGGAGGAACAGGAGTGAGGGAGGCAGCCAGGGTGTGGGAGGGATAAAAGCCATCTCACTGTGATTCAGCATAGCGCGCGGGAAGGTCACCAAGGCTATGCATACCCCCTTCCTCGTAATTCTCCCACTGCCACAGCGTGGCAGGGAGGGAAAGGGTTGCAAGGTTGATGTGACCATGATTACCCTGAACTAACAGCCATATAGCACCATGAATTGGTCCAGCAAGACAAGTTCTCTGGTCCAGTGAGCTTCCAGTGAATGGGAGAAAGGTGACAGGGCAGGTAAGGGATGGTGAAAGGACCAGTAATAAGAGAAAGAGAAGGCAGTATTGGGAGAAGTTGGCTGGAAGGCAGAGAGAGAGGCTGCCTGATGGTGGGGAAGAAGCAGACTGGGAGCGGAACAAGGGAAGGTGGAGAGCCAAGAGCATGAGGAGGAGACCTAAGGAGCGAGGACTGGGAGAAGCAGAAGGAGTGGAAGACGAGAAAATGAGAGCAGAGTTGGAAGTAGAGGAATATGGACTGCACAGGGCCCTGGATGTGCAGGTGTCAGGTGAGGAGCTGGAATCTGATACAGTAAGAGATAAAACATTAAGAGATAAGACAGTAAAGAATGTGGGTCAAGGATGCAATCACGTGACCAGAGCAATAGGCAAAGGTAGATGAGTGGAATATTTGATCGGCTGAAGGAGGCGGGGACTGTTAGGGTACGTCTAGTTCACATGCCGCTGCTGACAGAGGCATGTAAAATAGGCTACCCGACATAGTCAATGAAATGGGGATTTAAATATCCCTGGCTTCATTAAAATAAAAATGGCTGCCGTGTTATGCCAGCTCAGCTGATCGTCGGCACAGTATGCGAGTCCAGACGCGATCGGTCGACAGGGGAAGCCTTTGTCGACTGCTCCCTTATGCCTCGTGAAACAAGGTTTAAAGGAGCGGTCAACAAAGGCTTCCCTTGTCGACCGATCCGCATCTTGACTTGTGCACTGTGCCAACGATCAGCTGAGCCAGCACAGTGTGGCGGCCATTTTTATTTTAACGAAGCTGGGGATATTTAAATCCCCGCTTCACTGACTATGTCAGGTAGCCTATTTTACATGCCTCTGTCGGCAGAGGCATATAATCTAGATGTACCCCTAAAGGCAGAGAGGCCAAACTGTAAGAGGTTTCAGTGATGAGATAATCAACATGTGGAAAAATCAGATCTTCGTGTAACCTGTGTTATTGCCGCTGAATCCAGAAATGCTAGCCAGGCTCAGTCTGCCATTGTCACAGGAGAAAGAAAATTCACTGGAATAGCCACTTGAGACCGGCTTCTTGAAATGCCCACTCTCAGAGACAGGAAGGAGACTTCCCCATGTTGGAGACTAGAATAGGACTTTCATGACCTGGGGATGATGGAATCAGAGACAGGGAGCAGGTTCCCCACATGTGGGTACCAGAGTCTATGCAGTGTCACGGTCTTCTGCTACTTGAAAAACTTGGGTGAGATGTTCAAGCTAAGATTCCCCGTACACAGGAAATTCAATTATTAAAGCCCCTCAATGGCATTAACTCAACTACATTATGCCTCAAAAGCTAAAACAGAGTACTAGCCACCATGTTTAGCGGATAGTTTTTTCAGATCTTGGTTTGCCCACATATTGGAATGACTATAAACTATCTCCAGTTCACCCTGCTTTAGGGCTATGATTTAACACACACAAGGGACAGGGTATTCAGGCCTTCTCCTCCAAGGCATTTAGTGCCAAACTCCCATACAGTACTTCAGTCCTCACTTAGCAGGACACTGGTCCCATTGAACTCAGGGGCAAAAAACTTCCATTGACTCCATTGGGAACAGGTTTGGGCTCCCTGTACTGATTTATGCCCAGCACTGCAGCAAGTAGCTCCATTGGACAAGACTTGGATTAAGGAGGGAAAAAAGAGCTTCCCTCATACAACAAAGGAAAAAGTTTCCTAGGTAGCGTCTTCTCTTCCTATACCATCATTTGGAGGTGGCGCCACATAATTTGTTGTGAGAAAAGAGAGCTGACCTGGTAGTTAAAGATGCCTCAATGTCATCATGATGGGTGTGTTAGAAACAGGCAGGGAGGCTGATTGACACTGAGTGGGAGGAGTTGGCTTTGGTGACAAGCCCATGGAGGTGGGGTAAAACTATTGCTAGTAGCATCTACAGTAACTCCCATTGGGATTATCATTCGGCAGTCCAAGGAAAGGAAAACTGGACCTTTTCCTCTCACTCTGCACCAGGTTTTGAAGGGTGGGGAGTAGCTCTCCCTGAAGAGAGGCATCTGCCTGGAGAAATCTTCAACCAGACTATGTCTACACTTGCATTTGATCAACAAAGCTTTTGTTGTTCACAGCTGATACAATGCCCCTTCTCCCTCCCCCACCCCCCTGCCCACACACACACTAGGGATGTTAAATTTAGATTAATTCACTAATTGAATAGTCAATGGGATTTCCATCAACTATTCAGTAAGTCTATAGGGGCATCTCCGCCTTTGAACCGTAGCAAGAGCCCTGCCGGTGGGTGCCTCAGCCTTTGAAATGTCCAAGAGTCTGGGTGGGGCTCTTGTACATTTCAAAAGGAATCCCCCCACCCCCCCCAGGGAAGGGGATCAGCAGGGAATCCCCCAGGGCTTCTGCTTTTGAAATGGACAAGAGCCCTGCTGGGGCTCTTGTGCATTTCAAAAGCAGAATCACAGAAGAAGTGGTGCAAGCAGAGACAACTTCAGTCCCCGCTTGCGCTGTTTCCACTGTTCCTCTATCTCCCCTGTCCCCCGCAGACTTGGTGCTGGGGGAAACTGGTTTTTAAGCCAGCCCCCCAGCACTGGCTCCTGTTCCCCCTGCCGCTGTCTCTCTCTGACTGAGGCAACAAGGGGACGGGTGAAGTAACTAGTTATATCACTAGTCAACTATCTGATAAACTTCTGTTTATTGGATAGTTGATTAGTCTCTTACATCCCTACCACACACAACAAAAATTTTGCCATGGCAAGTGCAAATGGGAACACTCTCCTGCCTAAAAGCTGCCTAATGTAGACATATCCTCAGTGTTTGGGCAGAGGGATAATCAGCAGAGGCAGATCCCAGCAATGTTGGGTGCTAAGCAGCATCCCAAGCACTGAAGGAAGATGGAATCAATGTTCCCTCTAATTTTTTCCATCCATGTGCAGATTAAATTTTGGTATATGAACTGAGGCATGTGCAGATGTGCACTACCAATAGAAACACATGCTGCCAACTGTGGGTGCTCTGGTAAATCAGCAGAGCAGCACCTGAATCTCTCCTGGGTGTCCAGCCAATCACTCATTTTACAGGGAACTTTGGTGGAGATACTAGTGTATGACCTAGGGGTGGTAAAAGGATTATCTGAGGGTCAGAAGAGGAACAGATGAGTGTTGTATTAGTGGGAGGACACTGACTGTCTCCACAACTGTTGCTTTCCTTTCTTTTTATGGCTTGCTTTAGCAGGAGTCACAGCCTAGCAACCTTACCTCTGAAAATTTGTGTGGGATCTGATATAATAGTTGTCATGTGATAATGAGTCGCTTAATTCTAAACACTGAACATGAAGAAAGTATTAACCCTAAGCTATTTTCTCTAGTTTCCTATAGAACTTCTGTCTCCAACTTTCCCCTGCCCTTCCTGCCTGGCTTTCGGCTACAGATTTAAAGAAACAGTAAACATATTTTCACAAATATGACCGATACTTAATACTCAGTGGTAGTCATTAAAAATTCAACATTTGCCCACAAGTCCTCATATGTTGGTATGTATACCAGTGTCACACCTTCCCCCATGCCCTCAGAATAAGAAATAAGTCTGATATTTCCATGGCATCTGCTGGCAAATATTTATCACTGTATTTAGCACATTTTTCCCTAGAACTAAGTACTTTGTAAATTCATTCCCAAGCTATGCAGTTTACATAGGGATCACTTTGCCTGCCACTAAAATGCAATCACTTCTGGGCTGAAACACAGCAGCTGCTCAACAGTGCACAGAAGTATTACACAAAAATTAAGGACAGAAAGTAAAGAAAAAAGAATATTTATCCAACCAAAACCTCAAAAGGAATTTAGGGGCTCAATTTTGCAACTGTCACATAGCTAATACTACCACTGAAGCTAATGGGAGCTCAAGATGAAGCAGAGAACACAAGATGGAGTCTTTGTAGTTTACCCTGGATGGGATTTGGCTATGATTGCCACCTCTGAGGTACCAAAAATTGGGTATCTGGGATGATCCTGAGCCTATAAAACTAAGCAGCACGCAGTGTGTACTAAGCACCCTTACATATTTCCCAGGACAACTATCTTAAAAAGGGACCATCCTGAAAAATCCGAGGCAGAGGGTAATCCTAGATTTTCTCAGGATTGGTCTAACATCTCTAGGATTATTAAATGTGCTGGAGGAGTCTCAATGGATCAGGGCCTCAGCTGTACCTCTCTTTCACTCACATATATACATGCCCCACGCATCGTTAATTTGCACCATGAGTAACTTCTCTGTTATTGAGAGATTTCCTGCCCGCACAGCTGTCTAAGCTCAGCAATGGGTGTGTGAAAAACAGACATGAATGCACACTCACGGAGACACTCTGTGCTTTTGAACACTTTGATCCTCTGCATTGCTCTTCTCCCCACATGCTTCTCTGAAGATACACCCCTTATGTCCAGAACTTAAGTCCAGACAACCATGTCTTTTGCCAGACACACTCTCGCCCATCTTCATTTCAGCTGACATCAACCCTCCTTCTAGCTGGACACACGCAGTCCTAAAATAAAAGCACCACAGAGCTGTATCATTCAGGCGTTTTATCCTTCTCTGGTTAGGGAGGGCACAAGAAAAACAAAAAGCTCACACTGGTGAAACACACACATACACAGCCAGCGACATAAACACACCACCCCGAGCTCTCTGAAGTCTGTAAACATCTCTCCTAAGGAGGGGTGGGAGACAGCTGAACAGAGACTTCTCACTTACTGTGCTGTGTTCATTGCTTTGAGTCTTTGTTGTTGCTCTTCTCCCTTCTTTATCCCTTTAGAGATCCTTTTCCCTAATGGTTTCGTTTTAGCCTCCTTGTTTGAAGTTGTTGTTTGGAGAGGAGCTGGACTCTGGGCTGAGATCTGCTGAGTTGTAATATGAGTTTCCTGGAATTACTCACTCACAGGATTCTTTTCATTCATAAAAACACAGTCATGCGATGACATCATTGTTTCCCCTCCCTCTTTCTCCATCTTAGGGAAGGGCACAGCACAGGCATTCGAAACAAGAGGAAGCTGCCATCTTGGTGCTGGGCATCAATCTTAAAGGGCCACCATGCATGTTTGTTCTCCTTGTACATAGTAATAACCATTCTGACTGCTGCCCTTTATAATTAGTAATGTTGTGTACTTTTATAGTGAGAGATGATTTTATTGTTTTGCACGGCACTGGGAAATGGAGGGTGTAGGTTGTAGTCCTGAGTTTGTCACCTGGGCAATATTACCTCCCAGGCTTTGTCTCTAATATCCCGGGATCAACAGAGCTACAACTGCACTGCATCCAACAACGGAAGGTATCAAATTCTATCATCCAAAATGGAAAGTCCACAACAAAAAAGGCAAAACTTAAGAGCATTACCTCACTCACCTTGTCTCACTTAGGAAAATCATTTAGTATCGCATGTTTCCCCTTGGTGACCTGGGGATATCGACCATTCCCTTGTCACCCAGACTTCTTGTAAGGCTAAATTAACTCTCTCTGCAAAGTGCATTGATTTCCTTGGGTAGAAGGCATTGTAGCAGTGGAGAGTATTATTTTTGTGTTCTTAATAATGCCTTGCATCTGAAGCAGGGCCCTCCTTAGTACGTATGGGGCCCTATACAGTACTGTTAAACTGGTACTTCTATACCTGATGGCAGCTGGTGGGGGGCAATATTTTAGAGATGTGATTTTATAGTCTTCAGCAACACACTAATTAAATATTTTAAAGCAAATTTTAAACGAAAGTCCTTGTAGACTTAACACAGTAAATTCAGAAACTGATAGTACATACCTCCAGTTGGCAAATGCCTGTTAAATGGCTTCATTACCACTTGAATGGCTCTTTCCCAGGTTCAATATTCTGCTAATAAGTCTGGCAGGCTTTTTTACTTTTAAGTTAACTAGATGGTCTCTGGAGAAAGCAGAGCCACAGAATGGGGATGAGAAGATAGGCTTTTTTACTTTTAAGTTAACTAGATGCTCTCGGGAGAAAGCAGAGCCACAGACTGGGGATGAGAAGATGTGGATGGGAGGACATTAAGACCCAGTGGTGCCCCAAATTTTAAGGTGCCCTACACAACTGCATATTCCACATATGTATGGATGAGGACAGCACTGCTCTGAGGACTTCAAAGCACTCATGATTAGGAATGGATTTTACATAGTTTCTTTTAAAATGTTGGATAAGTACTGTATATGTAAAAATGGGGAGAAAGAGGAAGCAGTGGTGGGTTGGTTTTTTTTTGAAGTAAGTATTTTTAAATAGTGGAAGGTTTCACCTGTCCTCTTATGGAATGGTTATATCAATATGTTGTGTGTGGTGAGACGCATCATATAGGAATGACATGTCTAAGATTATCTATAAAAAGGAGTTTTTTTACTGTCTGTAACATATGATGTACCTTTATCATTTAGAGTACCAATCATAGGATACTAAGATTATCTGGTCACACAACTCTCCTGAATGCACCGAGCAGTTGCAATTTTCCAGTATCTGGCCTGCTGCCTTCAAGGTCAGAGAAAAATGAAGGAATCTCCTTGCATTATTTAGGGTCTTGTAATTGGGAGGAGATAAACATTTTAGCACACCATTTAGTTCTGCATGGAGGAATACAGAAAGAAAGGAACTGTAACGGGGGTGATTCCTGGCTAGTGTCAGCCATCAGAACATCATAGTTTAGTTTTACTCTCCTTTATAAAATTAACCTGCAGTAATGGCATTGATGTTACTGAAGTGTTAGACCAGTACTGCACTGTAATATAGTGGGATTTAAAAAAAAAAGTTAGCGCCTCCTATCATCTCTTCGAGAAACTCAGTCATATGAGTTACTTAGTAGGGATGTTAATGGGTACACAGTTAAATGGTTATCCAGTGAGCATCACCCTTAATGGTATCTGGGAGCATCCATCCACTCGTGGCCCAGTCCTGCCAGGCCCCTCGCACAGGACTGCCAGGAGCCACAGCGGTAGCCCCCGTGGGAGGGTTGAGAGCTGCAGCGGCAGCCCCTGTGGCGAGCCGGGAGCAGCTGGGCTGGAGCAGTCCCTGCCTGCAGTGAGGGCTGCTCTAGCCTGACCCCAGTGGGTAGGACACTTCCTCACGGGACCAGCCCCTTTAATTGGTTGAATGGGATTTGACATCCCTGTTACATAGCTAGTGATTTCTGTGCCACAGGCCATAGCATTTACATTTATGCAGGTGTCAGTCCTTGGTACATAGCTAGTGATTTCTGTGCCACAGGGCATAGCATTTGCATTTATGCAGGTGCCAGTCCTTGAGAAAAAAAGAGGGACTAAATTTGCCATCCTTCCAATCATTTTAGGATAGTTCTGTATTTCATGGGCCCAGTTTTGCCCACTCCAAATGTTCAATAATCATGAGACAGGCTCATCAAAAAGCCTTGAGAGTGGCTTTAAAATAATAAGATTATGTAAAATAATAGATTTTGTGTTCTTTTTATTTTCCTTCTGCTTTTTGAGCCTTTAGGACCTAAAGTTTAAGGGACACTGGGAGCACTTTTTGAAGCTTTCTCCATAGTTTTGAAGGCTATAAATTTACTATTTATTTAAGAATGGAGGCTGAAATCATCACACATTCACTTGACTCATGATCTTCAGACATTAAGGAAAGCATTATCTATCATGAGACTTGTGACAAAATCATGAGAGTTGGCAGCATAATAGCATCTTATTTACTTTCGGCCAGAGCATCATGTTGTTACACAATGGCTAGAGCTCTTCATCTCTTGTCATCTCCATATCAAGACTGGATGCCTGTCTGGAAGATATACAGTAGTCCAACACCTCTTCCTAGGCTCAGCACAGGAGTAATTGCGTGAAGTTGTATGGGCTGTGATCTTTTGGGCCCTGACATCCTCCGCCAGGTCCTCACTATTTTAAAGCCTTTTTGGGTGGGTAGGGGCGTTGGGCTCAGGACTTCCACTGTGGTTGACATGCAGTGGAAAGATCCGGTTTGGTTTTCATGTTCTGGGGGTTTTAGGGTGGAAACATTTCCTGACACGTGTTTTACCCCGCAGGGAACCTGTGTGGAGGGGAAGAAGAGCAGATTTGCAAAACTTCCCAGGCAGAGTTAATGGCCCTTTCCCCCCCTGCCCCAAGCAGGAGCCTGGCTGCAGGGCTGGGGCGCTCTGCAGAGCCGTGCAATGGCTCTTGGCCCCTCGCCACAGAGACTGCCTCGCGCAGAATCTACTGAACGGGAGAATCCAGGCTCCGGCTTCGTAGAAATGGGGGAACGTTTTCAGGTCACTGTCTCTTTAATGCGGGCGGGTCTTTTGCCCCTCACAAAGATGGCTGTCATGCTACCGCCGTCCTTTGCCCTTACTTCCGCCCTCGCTCAAACATGGCCGCCGCCGGAACTACACTACTCCGACTGGTCCTGCCCCCCCGCACAGGCCCACTCCCTCGCCCACATGGGACGGCACCTGTGATTGGCCAGGGGGCGGCGCGAGGCGGGAGAGTGAAGGAACGAGCGCTGTGGTTGGCGAAGAGTGGGGTCATGTGACGACGCCGTCCTTTGTGGGGACGGCTGGCAGCCGTGAGCGGGAGGTGAGTGACTCCG